TATATATATATATATATATATATATAGAAGACTAAAGCAGTTTGTTTTTGTTCCATTTTTCCATGAAAAATAGTTTTATTTTGAAATTACAACAAAATTTATGAAATTCCATGAAAAATAGTTTTATTTTCTAGAAGATACGCTTAATATAGTACTGACAGCACCGTAGAATTTATTATTTATAAATAATGAATGACGCAGACCTGTTCAACTTAATGGATTAATGAATGAAAACCCTCGTCCCCAAGCAACAAGTTGTCTATAATTTATAACCCACACACTTATTTTTCCACGCATCCTCATCTTAAAATATTTGGTGACATGGTCCGAAAAGAATCATCTAAGCAGTGATGTAACTCTTTCTCTCGAAAAAGTCAAAGATATAAACATAGCCACATTGGAAACTCTTGCATGATTAAATTTCAAACATTAATTTGTTTTGACCCTAAGGCGTGCCCGGTTTGATTATTTGATTGGATCTAGTCAAGTTATCTTTTCCCTCAACGAATAAATATATATTTGTGCTCAAGTCACACCTTGTGTTTCACTATAATCTTAAACCAAAACCAAAACCCATCTTAGTTGTTCTAACTTGTTTCCATATGCTGAAGCCTTTTGTTTGTGGCACTTTTCGTCACCATGAAGAAGATGGTGTACCATGTTCAAGCCCCAAGAAGTCAAAAAGAAAAGATAACAAAAACCCTTACTCCAATCGAGGGTTGGACAAGTTTTCTGCACTTTTGGCTGATCTTGACGAGAGAAGGCAAAAGGTTTACTCACAGATGAGTCCTCACGAGATATCTTTGGTTCGGTTTGCGTATTCTAGCAACGATGATTTCGTTCCCATCGTGGTGAAGGTGAAAAACAAGGATCAGAAGAAACACAAGAGCGAAGAACTCGGGGTGAGACACTTGCAATCTTTCTCGGAGCAGTTGGAGAAATCTGCTGAAGAAGCAACCGTTGAAGAAAGGAAGCAACAACCAAGGTCGTTGGAATCACATCATCATAAGAAGGATTTTATTTTTGGCTTTTCTTGGAACATGTTCAAGTGGCCATCTTTCTACGTGCCTGTGGTTGTGATACTGATTTTGGTTTTCTTGACCGTGTTTGGGAGATCCGTTGCAACACTTTGCACATGTGTCGTGTGGTATTTGGTCCCCATGTTGAGTGAATATAAATATAATAGCTCAAAAGCAAGGAAATCGATTATGAATTCGAAGAAGAAGGATTATGTGAGGGGGTGGTTGAATGAAATGAAGAATCCTCGTGAAGAGTTAGCTTCTCCAACAAGTGGTGATTCCAAGGCTTATAATAATAATATTGGCAAGAGATCAGGGAAGCATGGCCACCAGAAAAGCTGGTGACGATCCATTATTTTATATAATTCGTTCTTTTATTTTTTGGGTTTCTTCTTCTATTTCCAATTTATGGGTTGGGAATAGGGTTTTTCCTTGTGTAAATATGCATGTCTACTTTTTTCTTGGTCATGTTCTTGAGACAGGTTGAAACTTCAATCCTTCTCTTGTTGGCATTTTGCCAGTGTAAATTGTGGAATAGTTAGGAGAAACTATAGATGCACATTATGTTTTTGTAAGGTTCTTTAAAGTCAAAGATCCATCCAATCTCAACTAAACAATGCCGTACTCAGAAGCGCTAATAGTTTATTAAAATTTTAAAATTATATAGAACTATGTATCTCAATAACATATTTTTATATAGTTTTAGTTGATGAGCAGTTTGAACCATTAAAGATAATCTAGTTATAAAAAAAATTATATAAGATTTTAAGTTCAGACTATATTGTATTATTGTGATTTTAAAAAAATGATGAGAAGTTTTTGCTCTATTGAACTAGTTAAACACCATTTTTTTTTTTTTGGATTAGAAGTTCATATGCATGTAAATTTAACAGAGCCTACGCATTTTGTACAACCTAGGTTAAAATCCACGAGTTCCCATAGTTTCGTTAGTTTTTATTTTTTATAAATTAAATTCTTACGATTTTAGAAAGATTTAAGATAATCCTTATAGTTCTTAATTTTCAATTAAATTTCTGGATTCTTCACTCCGCTATATATATTCCGTGAAATCATTCTTGGCTATGACGTGTGATGTTGATTATTTTCCATATCATCTATGAAGGTAACAGCTAGTATGACGTTTTTCACTGGAAAAATTTGGGGATGATCGAACATCATTCGAGAAAGCCATGTTTGACGTCGCTGATGAATTGCATCTTCCTCCAACTCTTCCCCATCAAACCCAATCAAATTAATGAAACACAACAATTTCACTCTTCATAATGCCTCAATAAATGTCAAGATATGAATAAAAATTTTAGTGAAGAAAACGATTTTCTGTATTTTTGTATGTTATTATAGACAGTTATTGTCCCTCCATTATATATAAAAAAGAATTAAGTTAATTAGTAAACTTAATTATATTGTTATGAAAGCTAACTACAAATTAGAAAAATAATTAGACCGTAAATCAACAAACTAATCAAGAAGTTATACATAACAAATATCCTAAATATATGTCAAAAGATATTAACCGTCTAAATATAATTTATGCATATTAAAAGATATTAACAACTAAAATATCTTATATGTATATTACTCTGTCACTAATACTCCTCTTTAAGTTAGAGTATGAAGATTTTAAATGTCTAACTTGTAAAATAATAACTGAAATTGTGATTTACAAAGGATTTTGGTAAAAATGTCAACCAATTGATGATCTATACAGATATAAGATGTGACTATGTTTCTTACTTGAATTTCATTCCAAACAAAATGACAATTTATCTCGATATATGTTTTGTTCGTTTTTGGAATAAGGGATTCACTGCGATATGCAGAGTTACTATATAATTGGATGAACATATCATACATCAAGGCAAAAGAAGATAGACTTTAACCATTTCAGTTCACACGTAAGATGAATTTTAAAAAAGAACACGATAAAATGAATTTTAAAAAGATTTAAGATAATCCTTATAGTTCTTAATTTTCAATTAAATTTCTGGATTCTTTCACTCCGCTATATTCCGTTAAATCATTCTTGGCTATGACGTTGATGTTGATTATTTTCCATATCATCTATGAAGGTGTTTACGATGGATTTCGTTTTATGGATCCTTTTTATTCGAACTAGCACGTGACTTACGTAAACTACCCAATCCCGAGCTAGCAATCGCTGAACACGCCGAATAACATCATAGTGCTTGTGCAGATACTCCCTATCCATTGGCCGATCATGAAACAACTTAATAGCTCCCAGGCAGTCACATTCGCAGCTCACCTTCCGAAACCCACCTTCCCAACAAAACGAGAGGCCCTTCTCCAAAGCCAACAACTCAGCACGTAACGCATCACCAGGTAAGGCGCCTCGCGAAAAGCCCCCCCACCACATACCTGCCCAATCACGAATTACTCCACCCATTCCCATAGCAGAAGTCTCACTCAACCAACTCCCGTCCGTGTTTAGCTTGACCCATGGGTGCTCCGGAGGCCTCCAAAGGGCTTGCTCCACCCATAAACGCCTCTTAGCGTTATACGCACTATTCTCCACCATAGATAGTATCACCTTCCGACGGACCGCCGAGATTTGCTAGAGCTCATCATTAAACACCATGTTATTCCTAAAGCGCCAAACCCACCACAAGGTGATGGATAGCGTAATAGCATCCTTGTGCAAGATAATCCCCTTTAGCCACTGAAAACAATCCATTACAGAGAAGGACCACCCCACACTGCACCCGCCAGACATCAGCACCTCTCGCGAATATGGGCAATCCCGAAGAGCGTGTAAAATGGTCTCGTGAGGGCAAGAGCAACGCGAGCATGCACCTGACTCTGCCAACCTCCTATCCGCCCGAACCTGATTCGTTGGGAGGGCTGAATGAAGGCATTGCCACAGAAAGAACTTAACCTTCTCAGGGATCCTTATCCTCCAAAGCTTCTTCCAAACTGCATCCCCCTCTGCTGCCAACCTCGGGGTTAGAAAACGATATCCAGATGCCGCTGTATAGCAACCCGAGATAGCACTCCCCCACACAAAGTGATCTAACCCCAAAGGGGAATTAACAACACTCAACTGTTGGACCGAGTTTATCAGCTCGGTCGGAAGAACCGTATACAAGGCATTGAAGCTCCATTCTCCACTAATCCAGCAGTCGGCAACCGTTTTGTTGGTGTCCGCAATGTGAACAAAAGGGACTTTCCCACACCAAAGCCCATTACCTGACCAATCCGTGTACCAAAGTGATGAGGCGCCCGAACCTAGATTAGGCTGGAATCCCTCACGGAGTGAAGGAAGGGCCTTTATAATACACGACCAGATTGGAGAAGCACCCCGCTAATTTTGAGCACACAAGATAGAATCTCCATGTAGATAGAGGTTGCTGAGGAGTTGAACCCAAGGCTTCTGCGGGTCCGAAAGCAGATCCCAAACTAACTTCCCAAGGAGTGATACATTCACCCTGCGCGCCTCCCTAACCCCTAGGCCACCTAACTCTTTAGATTGAGTAACAACATCCCAACTCACTGGAGACCAAAATCGTGTATTATCAGCCTTTGCCCAGAGTATACGACGGCAAGCCTGATCAATTCTATTACACACTGCTTGGGGGAGCCACAATGATTGCATGCTATAAACGAGAATAGAGGAGATGGTAGACTTCACCAGACACAACTTTCCTGCCTTATTGAGGAGGTTGGCCTTCCAAGCCGCGAGTCGACCCTGAATCTTATCCATCACATCATAGAAATCTGCGCACCTCGGCTGACCATGAGTTATGGGAACACCCAGATACTTCCCAATCTGAGCCGTATAGCTAATCCCTAGCAGTCCTTCCAACGTATCAATCCTCCTCTGCGAAACCCTTCTAGAGCTCACAAACTTGGACTTAGTCAAATTGACTCTTAAGCCTGATGAACGCGAAAATTCCTCCAAGAGAGGTGCCACCAAACGAGCCTGGTCCTCTGAAGCTTGACAAAACAGTAAGATGTCATCAGCAAAGAAAAGGTGTGAAAGCGGTAGCCCCCCAGGAGATAGCTGAATCGGTTTCCAAAGACCCTCCTGGAGCAACTCAGATATCCTAAGGGATAGGCGCTCCATGCAAAAAACGAACAAATATGGAGATAATGGGTCTCCCTGCCGAAGGCCTCGGGACGGGACAAATGACGGTAGTGTGCTTCCATTCCAAAGGAGGGAAATTGATGAATTCTTCAACCCCCATATGATAAGTTGGATTATGATCGTAGGAAACCCAAACTGCATCAGCGTAGACTCCAAGAACTCCCACCTGACCCTGTCGTATGCCTTTTCAAGATCGATTTTTAAGGCCAAGGAACCCACACCTGAGCCGTCTTTCCGAACGAAATGAAAGGCTTCCTGAGCAATAATACTGTGGTCACAAGTCCTCCTCCCAGGGATAAAGCTGCCCTGGAAAGGCCCAATGACGCCCTGCAAGAACGGTTGAAGACGAGCTACAATCACTTTAGAAATAACCTTCCAGGCGACATTGCATAAGCTAATAGGACGAAATTCTTTGAGGCTAACTAGGTGGTTCACCTTCGGAAGTAACACCATTTGCGTCTCTAAGAGTGATGTGTCCGAGTACCCCAACCGAAAGGCATCCCTCACCGTACGCCATAATTCATCACCCACAATAGGCCAATACTGCTTGAAAAAGAATGGTCGAAACCCATCTGGCCCTGGTGCCTTGAACGACTTCATGCTCATCACCGCCCGGCGAACCTTCTCCTTCGTGACTGGGGCAGTTAAGGCAGGTCGGGCCTCAACTCCCAAGCCATGTGAAATCAGGATGTATGTCTAGAGACCCTTGATCGTTCTCCACCGAGAAAAGCTCCTTATAGAACCTGACTGCCTCGGTTTTCATGACCACAGGGTCTGTATGCCAAGTTCCATCTGGTAAAAACAACCCCTGTATTTTGTTCCTCCTTCTTCTCGCGAGTGTTTGAGCATGGAAGAAGGACGTGTTGCGGTCCCCAAACTTCACCCACTTCTCTCTAGATTTCTGAAACCATAGATACTCCTCCTGAAGACAAGTTTCGTCCAACTCCATTTGTATAGCCTTCTCCAAGCGCGACAGGCTCTCTGAATCCCCTATCTTCAGTTGTAGCTGTACCCCTTTAAGACGACGTTGGAGAGCCTTCTTCCTAGTAAGGATATTCCCAAACACCTCTTTGTTAAACTTGAGGGCATATACTTGAACAACTTGTAGCCCATTAGCAAGGGTCGGCTTGCTACGACACCACGCCTCCCTAACGATCCGCTCAAAGTCTTTATGGGTGGCCCATGCAGCTTGGAACCGAAAGGGTCGATCCGGAGATTTGTCCCTAGAGCCGTCACGCCGTAGTAAGAGTGGGCAATGATCAGAATAGACCGGGCACAGATTCTCAACATATGCTTCCGGAAACATTGCTTGCCACGCGACATTACACACTGCTCGATCTAACCGCTTTGCCAGCACAACCCCTCGTTGATTTCGATACCACGTAAAGTGAAGGCCCTTAGCCCCCATGTCGAGAAGATTGCAATCATTAAGAACCTCTAGAAACTATGATGCCCATGCCATCGAGAAACGACCCCCATGACACTCCGTTGACAACAAAATTTCATTAAAGTCCCCAAGCACTAGCCATGGAAGCGTAATCCGTCCTCCCAACTCCCGAAGGTGAGCCCAAACCTGTTGTCTGAGTTCCACCCGAGGATTAGCATAAACGGCAGTACAAACCCAGCTCTTGCTCCCTTCAACAACCGTAAACGAGATGGCCTGAGGGTGAGAGGCAAAGTCGGACGTGGTAGCAGAGCAAGACAAGGCCATCAAAACCCAAATACCCCCAGAATTCCCCGTAGCCTCAATGCTATAACACAGCTTATAGTCCAAATTTTTCCAAAAGGATTCCACCGAAGAGAACTGGCAATGAGTTTCCAAGACAATAAAAATAGACGGGTGCCCTAACGGAAACAAAACAAAATCTGGAGGACTCCTCCAAAATACATTGGAACCTAGGTTCCTTACACCCCAACTAGCAAGCGTATGAGCTACTGAGTTTATTTCTCGAGGAATATGACTTACGTAAACTACCCAATCCCGAGCTAGCAATCGCTGAACACGCCGAATAACATCATAGTGCTTGTGCAGATAATCCCTATCCGTTGGCCGATCTTGAAACAACTTAACAGCTCCCAGGCAGTCACATTCGCAGCTCACCTTCCGAAACCCACCTTCCCAACAAAACGAGAGACCCTCCTCCAAAGCCAACAACTCAGCACGTAACGCATCACCAGGTAAGGCGCCTCGCGAAAAGCCCCCCCACCTGAAACTTCTTTGCCATTTTCCAATCACCTAGGATTTAAAGCACCTCTGTATTTCGAGTGCCTCCGAATTCATTTTCCGATACCAAGAGAAGGTATTTCCATTGGAAAAATTTGGGGATGATTAAAGAACATTCGAGAAAGCCATGTTTGACATCGCTGATGCATTGCATCTTCCTCCAACTCTCCCCATCAAACCCAATCGATCGAATTAATCAAACACACAGCAATTTCACTTTATAATGTCTCTATAAATATACAATAAAAAATATTTTTTCAATAATATTTTATTTCCCTATGTTTATGTAAACTTATTTCATTGGTCTCATATTATTTATCTTTAATTAATTACTAAATTTATTATGATAAAATACTTGTTTGACAAAAAAATTCTTAATTAAGTTAAAGTATAGTTGTGAATGCATTAATTTATGTATTTTAAATGAGATATACGAGCTTATTAATAAAACAAAACCATCAGTTCTTTACCAACTATCATATGACATCCGGTAAGTATTGTTTTCACTTAACTGAGAATTTAAGGCCTAAATATATAATTATGCTAAATAGGATCTGTGGTTCAAATATATTGTAAAAAAAATTATTTAACATTAGATCGTAGCAGTGTGGTCTCTCACTTTCAATTATTCGAGTGCTATCGGTGACGCATGACATACACTAATTTCCTTTAACATCCAACCAACTCTCTACCAACCGAGTTAGGTTAGGGAAAGAATTTAAAAAATACAGCTACAGTATATATATGTATTTTTAATTCTTTAATTATATTCTAGTTGATGTGTATATACATAATGTTTTGTATTTAAAATTTTTCCAAAGTGCTTTGCTTTATTTTTCTTTTCTTCATTTGGGAACGTAAGAATCTAACTCCTTATTAATTTCATTTAACAATTTTTTTTGTTTACAATTAAATTTAAAGTTTAAATATGTTTTTCTCTTAAGGTAAATTTATTTTTAGGTTCTCAAATTTAAAATTGATATATTTTATCTTGTAATTTCAAAAAATTTTGTTTTAATCTCTATATTAAAATTCTGTTAAAAAATATGTCAAATATTGTAACATAAATTTTTTTTACCGGTATCTTTATCTGTAAAAGTATCATATTAAACTTAATTGATATTGCATAATTTTCTCAAATTATTATTTTTAAATATGTTTTTAGTGACTTGAAAGACTAAAATAAAATTTTTAAAAATTATAAAAATTAAAAATAATAATTTTAAATATGAGAGACTTAAAATAAATTTATCTTAAAACTAAAAATATATTCAAACCTAAATTTAATTACAAAACACTTATATAATAGGTCTTATAATTAAGAAATAAATTCATTGGTCGTGATAGCGCATCGTAAAAAATTAAACTCTTGTATTCATATAGTTTTATATATTTTTTTACATTAATTAATCAACTTTGCTGATTCAAGAAAATAATGCTTATTTATTCCTAGCGGTCCGAATTCAACAACCCGTCCTTTGTACCATAAATCTAGAAGCTTTGTAGAAAACGTGATATCTTATAATTTGTATTGATACATTTTTTCTTTTTAATCGGTGACATCAAAGACATTTTATATCTTTATATTTATTTATAAATATTTAAAAATTATTAATGTTAAACTAACATCTATTATACCTAGTCATTAAATATTAGAGTCTCTAAATTGTACAATTCTTGAACTTATAAGAGTAATTAATTTTTTATATTGTTTATTATTATTTAAAAATTTAAAAATAAAAAGATTTAAAAATTATATACACGATCATTTTTTTCACATCACTTTCTTTTTCTTTTACATCATTTAATATATTATTTTTTTTTTTATCTTTATCATCGCTTCTACCTTAATCCGTTCCAAGATAGTGGTGATAATTTCTAGAAAATATAATCTCGTTCTCATTGCAAATTACATAATAATAATAAATAAATAAATAAGTACAGCATTGATCTTGCATTCGAGTAAAGTGTATCTTACCCTGTGCAAAAGTCAGCAAGACTGTCAATGGATTGCAGCTTGTTGAGTTTATATAGTATTGTTTATATTTATCTCTTTTATATATATATATATATATATATATATATATATATATATATATAATGTATGTAATTTCTCGATATTGACAATTAAAAATTAGCTGCATTTGTAAAATATAATTCTTTTATGAATCAAATATTATTTTAATATAAATACTGATAAACATTTGTAAAGAGGACATTGATTTTCATAATTCCTTAAGATTTAATAAATTAAAATCTTATTAATCTCCGATATTCTTCCTTTTTCGTTGTTTACTTAACATAGGATGACATGGATATATCGGAAAATTAAATTTAAAGAAGGAAAAGTTACTACAATTTTAAGGCAAAAATATAATTTAGCAAAATTTCTGATAAAAGTATCGAGAGTAGTTTAATTATCTATAATCACTACAACAAAATTTATTATTAATCATAATTATTTAATGATAATAAATTAATTATTTGTATTTTATAAAAAAATATTAATAATTAATATATATAATAGTCATTAATAATGTATACATTACATTAAAATTTACTATTAATAATAATTATTTATTAGAAAAAATTTAAGTCTCACATCGATTAAAGATAAGATAATTAAAGAATATATAAGTGGATACTAACTCCTACAAGTTGATTTTGTAAGATTGAATTAGATTCATAATTCACTATTTTAAGTTGGTATCAGGTCACTTATCATTACCAAGCTCAATAATACTAAATTTAAGGGGTTGTATTAGAAAAAATCAAGTCTCATTGACTAAAAATAAGAAAATTAAAAAATATATAAGTATTAAAGAGTATATAAGTTATAAATAATTTTTTTAACTTTTAGTAGTAATAATAAAAAATATTAAATGTCAGTAAAAAATGACACAAAAACTTATATATTTTTTTTAATCATTATAAAAAAATTTATCAGTATACTAAATAATTACTTGTAGATATTTTATCGACATTGCATATAATGATTAATGTAAAAATATTAATAAAAAATTTTACACTAATTTTTATTGTCAATTACAAAATTATTTTGTTATAGTAAATTGAGCTAATGTCATGAACAAATAACCACCAATATATGTACCAGCAGCATATCGTTGAGAGTTTTACATGTGTTTGGTAAATAATTTAATTGAACATTCAATAAGTAGTTACTATATGAGTTTGTGCCATAAATATGATATTGAAATAAGTTAAAAATTATGAAAGTCCTGAACAATCAAGAGTTTTTAGTACAGCTGCTTACTCAAGATAATCATTCTCATGCATGCCAAATTTTATGAAGGACAACATATCAGAACAATCTACAATTCCAACTAAAATTAATGCGTTAGGGTCCTTATCTTATACCTCCACCAAATATAATTTATTGTCAATATAGTAGATACTACGTATTAACTATCAATTAAACAGAGTTAATTTAATTTTTTACTGAATTAACAAGTGGTTAATCGGAGAATTAATTAAAAGAATACTTAGTAAAAAAAATAGCAAATATTTGGTATTAAAAATAATATATATTTGGTTCTGTCAACAAAAAGTATTTGGCCACTTTTATAGGGGGGATATATTTAGACAAATAATTAAAATGTAAATGAAAAGTATTACATATCCTACCTATATTTTTTTCTCTCTCTAAATATCAGATAGCATAAGCATGCTGTCAAAAAAAATGTTAGATAGCATTGTAAAAGAATGTATTTTTCCTTAAATAATATGTTAATATCATACAATATACAGTATTGTTTTTTCTCTTGAATTAATACAGGTAATTAAACAGCCGTGCGTTGTTATAACGAATGAGTGGGTGACACGTGGAATGGCACAAGGGATATTGATAGAAGATGCAAAACACATAGGGGTTTTCTTGTTAAATTATTGTTAATAGTAATATTAATATAGCATGTTAGCGATGATCATCCCCGTCCACAATACAAGGAAAGACAAACTCCAAAGAAAAAGGGGAAAAAAAAGATTGTAGAGGCGTATAGGCCAGGGGAGAGAGAGAGAGATCATAGGGTGACGCAGAGAGAGAGAGAGAGAGAGAGGGGGAGAGAGGGGGGTGAACATGGGGTTGTGCTTTGGTTGCTTCGACGGGGGCAACAAGCGTATGACCAAGGAGGAAGAAAGATTGGCCTCTGAAGAAGCCCGTGCTAGAGCTGCTGAAGCCGCCCAGAAAAAGTAACATTGCATTCTTCTTTCATGGATTCTCACCTCTTATATATATCATGCTTGTCAAAATTGATCCATCTGCAACCTTCTCTTCCTTCAATATATATCTTACGTTAATATCTCCATATTGCTACGTAAAGCTTTCATGGTCTATATATACATTCCATGCGTGTGACGTACATTATGTACATGCATGCATGCATGTTTTGACGTGATTGTGGAAGTCCATATATACGTTCATAGATGCATGCATGTTCTGATATGTATGTACGTTATTGCATGATTATAGAAAGTTGTTGAGATTGGGTGAGCCGTGGAAAAAGGGGAAATGATGTTCTTACAATGGTTTTTTCGGGGGGTGATGAGATACAGGTAGAGGGAGACTAACTTTTAGGTGTTGATTGTCATTGCAATATTGCAGGCAAGAGCATGATGAAGAGGCAAAGCAACCAGAAACGGAAAAGGAAGCTGAAAACTCCAACGACGACCATGGCGAACCGTTTGTAAAGGTTTAGGGATACAAGGGGGTCACTTGATTTTCGGCAAGTATTAACTCACACTCTGCTAAATCACCATTCATACAAATTCTAGGGAAATTTCGTGAATTTTGATCAAGAATTTTTTCACTTTTTATTCTATAAAAAATATTTCCCTTGATATATGCTTCTTTGTTGCCTTTGCTGTTTGGTTAACAATCTGTTCCTAAATTCATTAAATTGCATTGATAATATGTTTTTACTTTTCATCTGTTGATGCAGTGGCAGAAGGATTGAGGTTAGGCCAACTGTTTATTACATATGTAAGGTGAATGGTCAATCTGATAAAATTTAGCTCTAAGTTGCCCCTTTTGATTAAGACTTTTCTGTTTCCTGTAAACAAGATTTGCATAAACAAAGTTTAATGTAAATGCAGCACATTTCACTGAGTCAAAAAAGCTACAATATAACAATTATTAAGCCAATAAATTTTGTATTGGGTAGCCAAGTTATACATGTCACATGAAAATAAGTTTTTAAAATGCAAAGGGGGACGTGACAAAATATTTTGTTTTCTTAAATAAATTTGGTTATAGATTCAGTTAGTTCGTGGCAATGAAGAAAAATCCTTTTTACAGAAAATCCTAGCCGACTTACTTACGAATCAACCCAACCCAGTTGAATTGGGTTATTCTCACTGCCTTTCTACATTGGGCAGATTAGGACAATTCCTAAGTTATTATTATGTATGTTACAGATTGAATTGTCAGTTAACAGTAGAAATTTAAACCTTCTTCTTTGAAAAATGAAAATATCTTCTGCGAATTTACAATGTAGAAATCATTTGCCTCATTGGTTTTCCCTTTCTTGTTTTGCAGATAGGTCCAGTCAAATCCTCTGCACTGCCAGCTTTCCTTGTTCCGGAGATGTACAAACGGTCTTTACTACAACTGTACCATCGGTCAAATTTGTTGTTTTTCAGATCCAGAAACATTCTGTTTGTTTGCTAAAAATTCGTGATGTAAAAGCAAACAAGGATAAGTTGAGAATGTAGTTTGGTGTTTTTATTCCATTTGTAAAACTCGACTATCCTTTCTCAAAAATTGAACACATCAACCAATTTATGCCTTCTTTTTCTCTCTTGTTCTATTTTGGTAAGTAAGAACATGAACTTTATTTTTTTATGGTTCCAGCCTGGGTGAAATACGTGCTACATACTGTCAATAATATTTTTAGCTACGGAGAATGACATAGAAACTAAAAGTCATCAGATTATTTTAAAAGTGAAGGATCATAAAACATAATACTCTCAGAGCAAACAAAAATTACTCGCACGTCCCAGACTTGCGTGTCTATTAAGTTGTACAAAAAAAAAAAATCGTCTTTGAGCATCTCATCATGCAGTCAACCATGTGGGTTAGCAAGTGGATGACCTTGCAATGAATCATCCTGGCAAATGGTTGGACTAACTTGGTTATTTAAATGTAGAAGAACATCTCACTTCCTAATTCTTGGTGTTTATTTTCTACGAGAATAGAAGAAAGCAAATCTTTATTGAAAATGTTGGTTGGTATCTTGAAATTAATAACGAGATGTTAGATTGATGATTGATGTCGAAGTTGTCACCTTGAATCTGTCATTTAGGGAAATGCGATTGCCTTATGACATACATTAGGTTTTTTTTTTCTTTTCAGGATTCACAGTTCACACCTTCAACAATCCATTGTTTTACTATTTTTGTCCACCATTAATTCTACTTGCGAAACAATGACAACTTGATTAGAACAGAATGTAGAAAATTTATAGAAAATTAGCTATATTTAGCTATACATATGGAAAAATCTACAATAAAGCAATGGTAATCATGGAATGAGTAATTTAATCATTTAGTTCCTGCTTGCATATTTTCTATCATGCCCAGGGTCAAGCTCGCTTTCCCTCGACAAAAAACAGTAGGGGTGTTTTCCCAAAGTCTCAATTACTTAAATTTTTGCACTGGAGCAGAAAGCTTCAGTTCATAAGCAGCTTGAAAGAACTCTGCGGCTTGCTGTAACGAACCTTCCTTTTTTGAAACCAATCCAAGGTTGAACCAAGCATCATGGTTTGTAGGTTCTAATCTCAAAGCATTCATTAAAAAATTCTTTGCAATTGAAAGTGATTGCATACCAAATTTCATCAACAATTCAGCAGTTGAAATGATACTGGGAATGTGATCTGGTTCTATTGACAATGATATTGAAAAGGAAACCAATGCTTCTTTGTATAATGATTGAGCTTCAAGTAACATCCCTGCAATTGCGCACAGCCATGGAATTGCATATAAGTTTACCACGAGCATAAACACTCAATGTAGAAACTAGAAATTAGTAGTTAGTTTAATCCTAAAAATTTGCAGACAGGTTCCTTACCTGTAATATGCCAACTTTTTGGAGAAAAAAATTCTATCAACTGTGCCTTGTCCACACAAGCTTTTGCATCAAGCAAGGAACCAACATCCGTATAAATGGTCGCCAAATCCTGCCAAGATTCCATTTCCAACTTCCTTTCTGTTAATGCCTGATAAGAGGGATGAAAAAGTTAGAAGGGGAATTATTCTCAAGATTTTAGAGATGAAACTAATCATTACTCTACAAATAATTTAAAAAAACAATTGCCCCTGATCATCAGTTCCCATTCATCAATTCAGCATAGGATAATCTTTGCTCATCCAAAATAAAAATTTTAACATGATTTTAGGAAATGAGGTTGGAGGTGTTTCTTTTAACAAATGTAACAAAACCTTATTAGGTTAAACTACTGTAGGTGTAACCATCTTTTTTCTTAGCAGCTTTAAGTAGACAAGTTGCTTCTTTTCAATCAACTTTAACATCATTCTATACAAGGGATGCTATAGAGTTACTACACACCTCATGTTTGAATGCTTGTTGCTGATCGATGTTGTTGCAATCTTGAAGCCAAAGCTCTTTTTTTGCTTGAATTAGTGTTAGCAAGATCCTATATGTCTCTACTGCTTGCTTGGGTTGCTGCTGAGCAATTTGAAGTACTGCTTTCAATCTTAGAAGTTCAAGTTGATCTATCCCCGCAGCCTCATCTAAAGCAAAATCAACTATAGTTTCAGCATCCTTAAATCGCTGCTGTGCAGATACTATGAGTGCTAACAGCTGCCAACCTCTTGTACTGCCACCAGTCATATATGAGTGCATCATTATGTTGTTGTAAGCTGCATCCAGATTCCTTTGAATTGCATTTTCTAGTCCAAGGCTGAATATCACTTCCAGGTCATCATTTCCATTTTCAGCAGCACAGTTTAGAGAGTCCAAAGACTCTCTTTGAAATCTACTTCTCTCAGAATCCAGTACAGAAATTATAGCAGCAGCCCCATAGCAGATGCCAAGAAATTTGTGGCCTTGACCCAAAAAATGCTTATTTTGGTGCTTAGCTAGATCAATAACTTCACGTGAAAAGTTAATGCCTTCATGAGCATGGCGAGGATCTTGGGAACAGAGTTTTGCTCCAAACAAAAATGAAGGAAGATGGGATCTATGCTTTGCCTCAGAGCTGCCACAAGCCTTTCTTAAAAGGCTCAATGCTACCTCATTATGTCCTGCAGCACTATAACACAGAGCAAGAAAGTACCACTTCTCAACTCGACTATAGATACCTGGAAGGATCTGCTCTACATGATCTGCCAATAACTCAAACATCCCAGTGACTGAAAGTGCAAAAGCAAGATGATCCATTATTTCAGCATCCCAGTCTATTTCCCGAATTGTCATCTTGCTCATGAGTATTAAAAGCAAAAGTATTGCTTCTTCAACACTACTCTTGGGTGTTGTCTTACCGCACACCTGCAACTGAGAGGGTAGGCTTACTTCAACACCACCATATAGCAGTATTGTAGCTAAATCTTTTTGTACAATAGCCAACCTACGTGGCTCCAAATTCCATGGCTTTACCAGAGCACGACGATATGCAATGACAGCTTCATCCAGAAACCCTGCCTTGATCCAAAGGCTTGTAAGCAACTCCAATGCCTTATGAAACATCTCTTGCAACTTACAATCTTCACCAATACCCTCAGGCATTCCATCAGGAAGGGCAGATTCAACTGTATCTAGAATTATTCTGCACTCTTTTGCAGCCACTGGCAAATAAGAAAGCACTAAATTCATCAGAATCGGCACCCGAAACCTCTCACTAGAATCAACACAATTCAGTTAAATTCAAATAGAGTAACGTTCAAGATCTCACTTGTAAAATTAAATTGCAGAATTTAACATTCAAGCACATAAAAGTCCTCTAAAAGGGTAATATAACATTAGTTACCAACCAATGCATTGCCCAAGTTCCTCCAATGATCTTGCTTTGAGTAAAATTGCCTCAAGAAGCAGGCTAACCGAATGCAATGACATCACATTCAAAACCACGATATCTGCCTTGGAACGCGGTTTCCTTTGCTTTGTTCTTTCAGCAATAGCCTTGACCATTCTCGGGGTTAAACCCTTGATGTCTATACCTTGAAACACTTGAAGTGCAGCTTCATAGTTCCCTCTCTGGAATTCAAGCCTGCCCAACAAAGCCCTAGCCTCCTGAAATTCATTCAATACACACATGACATTTCAATACTGAACTCCAGTTTTAATATGCAGTTATATTAAATGCCTTGAAAGGAAAACTATATAGCTTACAATGGTCCTGTTCTCGGGCAAAATTGTCCCCTAGAAGCCAAATACACAAAAAAAAAAAAAAAAAAAAAAAAAAAAAAAAAAAAAAAAAAAAAGTACCTCATAGTTTAAGGAAAGAGCTTCTTTGAGAGTGGATTCAGCTTCTTGTACTTGAGTTTCATCGAATTTAGGATCCCATTCCTCGTTTCTGGAAGAGAGGCCACCGGCGAGGAAATCCCTGGCGGCGAGGGACTCCGGCGACTGCGGCGGGTCTTCGAATTTGAATTGGTCCCCGGAACAAGCGCACAACATCTTCTCCGTTCAACAACAATGACTCCTCAGCGCACAGCTTTTAAGAAAGACGTTTCCGTTAGTTTTGAACTGAAAGGAAGAGTGCAGTTGCAGTGTGAATTAATAAAGGTATTGTTAACGAACAAGGGTATGTATGCCATGGTGTTGTCATATTTTACAGTTACCCATGGAGACATGAGAGCTTTGAACTCACCACCGTTACATAAATGGTAGTATCAAGGACTGAACGTCTTCTAAGTATCTTAACTTCTCTCTAATTAAGTTAATTCTACTGATTATAGAATAATATTCTATCTAATAATTTCTATTAAATATAATTAATTACAATAATTAAAATAATTAATATTAAAATATTTATTATTAAAATTAAATAAAATTATAATAGTTAAATTATTATATCTCGTTAAAATTGATATTAATTAAATTTTAATATTACTAATTAATAAAATAATTATTTTAAATTTAAGTTAAATTTAAATTTAAATAATTTTATAAATTAATTAATCTTTTTAAATATCTCAAAATATTCAACATAATTTTTCAAAATGTATTACTAAAGTGAAATTATTTTGAAACAATTTTTCACTTTTTAAGTAATCAATATAGAGTATCGCTAGTCGATCCATCAACACTCTTATCACGTCATTTATTTTTTAAAAATAATTTTTCACTTAAAAATGACTCTAGTTAATACATGTGGCGTCGATGTATACGAAGGCAATAGCAATACATGCTCAATTACAATTGGCACATATATTTCTTCTTCTTTTTTTTCTTGTTATTATCGCAGTGGCCTATTATGAGAAAACATATTTTTGTGTCATAGTGGCCTGAGTGACACTATTATTATTTTTTTTAACATGGTTCGCAAGGGAGTACTTTGAAGCATATTATTTATGTTTAGTGCCATTATTTACACTTGCGAACACCATTTTAATTTTTAATTTTTTACTTTTTTATTTTATTTAATTAATCAATTAAAACAAAATTGCTTTAATTAAATAAATAAAATTATAAAAAGGTAAAAATTTTAAAAATAGAAAAGGTGTTTGCAAGTGGGAATAACGAAGTTGTCACAGTCGCAAAACATAAATAAGTACTCCTGATGAACTATGTTGAAAAAATAATAAATAATAATAATTTTATGTCCATTGCAAAAATAATAATAATAATAATAATAAATTAAAATTTTATACCGTTGTATCGCTACTTGCAGCAGTGATATATGCATCGGTGCCACGTGTCTTAGATGAAGCCATTTTTAGGTGAATTTTTTTTATAAAAAAAATGACATGATAAGGTTGTTGTTAGCTTGACTAGCAAGTAAGAAATTATTTCAAAATAATTTCACTTTAATAATATTTTTGAAGACTACCCTTGTATGATAAAAAGCCTTAGATTGAGCCACATGGCAAAGCGAAGCCTAATTGACGAATATATTAGATATGCACATATTAAAGAAATAAAATGAAATCAAAATGTCAAAATTAAATACTTTTCAAAATTAATAATGCAATAATTAAAATAAGATTTATTTGAATTTTGGATCCTATTTAATTATTAATTTGTAATTCTGTTCTCGCTAATTTTAATTGCACAAATTTGGTTTCCTAGTTTAAAAAAAAAAAATTGCAACTTTGTTTCAACCATCAAATTTTCATACTTGTAATACATCCATACATAATCTTCCATATATTGTTATACCGCATGCATTCGATTGTATTTTTTATTTATTTATAAAAATTGACTTCAATACTGAATAGATTTACGACCGTCACACACATTATTTAACCAATCAAACTAGACCCCTTATACATATCTAATAATATGATAACATAAAATATCACTCAATTCTCAATTTTTACGTGAGTAGCTTTATTCTGAATTTAAACTATCAATAATGTAGATCTAAATGATATGATGAATTAAAATTACAAATCTTTTAATATTAGCAACCAAAATTACAGAAAAATCATGTGAATACTAAAATGTACAATTTATATTTTATTTTAATTATTACATTGAGTATTTTTCAAAAAAAAAATATTAATCATATACAAAATATGGAAAGAGTTTAATAATTTTCCTTGGAAAAAAATAGCAGTATTCATGTAAATAATTATAAGATTTTGGTTTCATTTAATTCCTTAATCTGTGTGTACCTTTATGATTCTAGTCATTTTGTTTCTACGTTGTTTCTTCTACCATTTTCTTCTAATATTTTAATTTCTTGATTTTTTTTTGCATTTTATTTGCTTTACATTTAAATTTTGTTACAATTTACTTTCCTTTGGTTTTTGTAGGCTTTTATTTAGTTGCATATTTTTCTCTTTTTTTATTATTTCAAAATATTTGAATTTTTCTACAAGTGTACTATTTTCATATTATACTTTGAACACTTTGAATTTTCTACAGATCTTTGAAGATTCATTCAATTACTTTTAAGTATCGAATTTCTTTTTTAATTTCATTTTTTATATTCAATTTGGATTCTTTCATTTACATTCATGCATTTAATTTTTATCTACATTTAAATACATTGTGTCTTTAATTTTTATCATCTTTTTCTTACATTTCATCCTTTTTGAAACAATTAAATACTGATCCGAAACACTCATAAAATTTAAATTTGTACCAAAAACTTCATAATGATTGACATAAATGAAATGAGATTTGGTATGAATTGTATTTTCATAACGTAGGTTCGACATTCCTTTTAACTATTAAAATTTTTGCTAAAAATTTATTTTAGTCCCTTATAATAATTGTTTGTTTTAATTTAGTCCCACTTTTATTTTCGGTTTCAATTTGGTCCCAAACTAATTAATTGGTTTCAATTAGGTCCCTAATAAATTAATTGGTTTCAATGTGGGACTTTCGTTCAAATTTCTTTAACGGTGTTAACTGTTGGCCACGTGGATGTCACATAGATGCATAGGTGGATGCCACGTGGATGACACGTGGATGCCAATTTTTTTGAAAATACCTAGAACCAGAACGACCCGTTCTAAAACCAGAACGGACCGTTCTAGATGCACTCTTGGTGTGTTAATTTTACCACAAAATAAAAAATAATTAAACAATAAAATAAAATATAAAATATTAATATATTTATTATATTAGATATAACAACATAATTAAAATTTAATTAATAATATATATTTTATAAAATTATTAATATTTTATATATAAAAAAAAATGAAAAAAAATTTAGTGGGGGCAAATGCCCTCACTATGATTAACTTAGATTTGTCCCCGCATATGATTTTGTGGTGAAATGTTAGTCCGGTGTATTCTCTTCCTTTACTTCAGGTTCTACCTCTTCAAGGACCGGGTGGTGTTGGGGTACATCGTTTATGGCTTCAAGGAAAAATATCATGTCATTTCATCCTTTACTGGTTTCAATTAGGTCCCTAATAAATTAATTGGTTTCAATATGGGACTTCCGTCTAAATTTCTTTAACGGTGTTAACTGTTGGTCACGTGAATGCCACGTAGATGACATGTGGATGCCAATTTTTGGAAAATACCTGGAACCAGAACGGGTTGTTTTAAAAAAATTTGTCATCCACGTGGCATCCACCTATGCATCTACGTGGCATCCATGTGGCGAACAGTTAACTCCGTTTAAATAATTTGGACAGATGTCCCACATTGAAACCAATTAATTTATTAGGGACCAAATTGAAACCAATTAATTAGTTTGAGACTAAATTGAAACCAAAAATAAAAGTGAAACTAAATTGAAACAAACAATTATTGTAAGGGATCAAAATAAATTTTTAACCTAAAATTTTATTTCAATAGAGACACCTACTCAAAAAAAATCCTTTAACACCAAAGGTATAATTTCTTTGGTAGTTTTCTATAAACAGTCTTCAATTTGACAAATAAAGACTCAAGTCATATTGAATACTATTACACTTTGCCTAATCATAAAATAGACAACAATAATAGATTTCAAAATTTTCAACTTATCATTAAGTCCTTTTTTAATAATTTAGGAATGTGATCCCCTATCTATTATTTTTATTCATTAAAAAAATGTACCGAAAATCTTCCAAGTTTTATTAATAAATTGTGGAAGAATATAAATGAGGCTACATTTAATACAAGGAAAAACTAAAAGTCAGAATGAGTGGAGGAGGTAAAGTGGATAAATGGTATTAGTGGGAAACACTATCATGTTGGTTCCAATCATCTATGGATTGCCTTCCTATGTTTAAGTGATTGAATATCTTAATTGTTGTAGAGGGTGTTGCTTGACTTTGAGCTAACATGTATTTCCACACAATATTTGTGTTGTAAATGAGAATAGTCACATATTTGTTTCCTATAATAGGTCACCTAGCTATGTTTTTTTTTTTTTTTTTTTTTTTTTAAGGCAAAAGGAACAAGGAACAAGTGAGCGTCCATTACAGGCTTGCAATTTGAATAATAATTAAAAAATAATAATAAAAAAAAAAAGCTAATGGATGATGTATTGATGTTTATAGGTGCTTGAAATGCAACGACGTTAATGTAGGAGATATATACAAGAGTGGTCTAATTTGTTTTACAGTTACGAGGAATATACTCTTGTATTTATTATGTTTCTTTTTCTTACATGCTGCATCACTTGTGCTTGGGTTAGTGTATCAATACAAAAATTAACTTGTTAAAAAGAGTTATATTGATAATAACTTTGAAATCGTAAAAAAAAAACTCAAATTTATCATAATTTCAATTCACAACAAAAATCAAATATTTTCTGTACAAAATTAAGTTCATATAAATGTTTAAAATCACAAAGTTAAAATTATTATTAAATTTAACTTTAGCCATTTGAACGCTTAAATTTACTCACTAATTAAGGCCTTTATCAAATTTATTGGATTAAGACTTTAACTTGAATTTATGTCATTCAATTGAAAGTTAAACATTGTTAGTTTCATGAGAAAAAAAAACAATTAATTACTTAATTCTAAAAGTTTCATTAAAATATTTTTATTACAACAATCAAAAGTGGTCAGTTATCTTTTTGACATCTAAATAAATTAAATTTCATAGAGTTCAAAAGAAAATTCTACCATCAACAATTACATTAATAAGTTTATTTTGCATCATTGAATTTTTTAAAATTTAAAACTAAGAATGTAGAAAATTCTAACATCAACAATTACGTACATTAATAAGTTTATTTTTTGAAATTTAAAACTGAGAATGTAGAAAATATTAACATTATATTATATATTAAACAACAGTTGAATATCGTGTCTAAATAAAGGAATAAAACGCATTAAAAATATCCTTATTATCCATGACGATAATTCATTTCATTAGATAAAAATAAACTAAACACACAACACTTTAAAAAATGTGAACAAAATTCTATAAATAAATTATTTAATGAACATAGCCTTTATGTACACAGTTTATTAATAACAAAACATTCATCGATATGCTTAACGACCTTGGTTATTAACTGTCTTTGTTGGTTTTTTTTTTCTTTTGTCAAATAAAGGGAATAAAACAAGGGGGGTAACAAGGGGAGATTAGCTTGATAAGAAATAGGGAAAATTGTAGTGAATTCTTTTGATATATTTTTAAGTGATATATATATATATTATATAT